AGTATCCCATATTAATCTTCAATAAAATATTCGAAGCATGCAAGTAGTATTAACAAGATATTCCTTCCCATGCAGTGAGATAAAATGAGCAAGACAGGACAAGGTGATATGACGCAACCCGGGATCGCTACGAAGGGATTGAAGTAATACGGTAACTTGACCTACTTTTGGTATCGGCGCCAAAGTCAGATTTCGAGTCCAGTTTACCCTAGATTATGGGACTGGTCGCATCATCGCTCATTCAGCAAAGTGCGACGAATGAAGATAAGAGACTCACCATGACGAGTAAAACATCGATGAATGAGTTGCTCCCGGAATGAATGACGCAGAGTTGGTGATTCGAGTTGACAGGCGTCTTCGCAAGCATGAACTTGCGACTGAGTCAGCGTGTCGATACATTAATGTGAGAGCGCGTTGAGGTCACGGCGAAGGGTACAGGGCAGGGAAACGATAGACCGTTGGCTTCGAGGGAATTATGACAACTTCTGAGAAATATAGAATAATCTGCGATGGCAAAATAAATTTGTCGATGTGGAGATCAAACATCCCTGAACATAATATTCCACAAGCAATCGAGGACACGAGGTAAGTGATCAAATATGAAACTCGCTGTGGCCTCCGCAGTCGGTCGGGGACGAAGTGTCCTCAGAAGAAGTTTGTTCTGAAGTACAACTGTGCCCAATTTTGTGTCGATCGCCAAAATTGACACAGTTGTCCGTTGAGGCTCTCGGGTGATTGTGCCTACCATTGTACGACAGACTGACTACATACGCCTCGCCAAGCGCAGAACAGTCCATTTGGCCTGGGTTAAAGCTCTTTTCCAGTGTTGTGTACTAGTACTAATAATACTTTTCAGCGTTGTATGGTGGAAGTCACCTGAGCACAGCAGTACACATACGCCACTATGGTTATTTTAGTTAAACCACACAAGATTGACAATTGTTACTGCGTTTTATCCAAAGCAAACAGGTAAAACGTTCACTTCTAAATTTGTACTAATAATTCGTGCTTACAAACATCTAGATTTCCTTGTGTGCCAAAGTGCACATGGACCTCGATCAAGAGTACCCAAAATGCCCACTTCGTTTACTGCATGGTAACTAAATTCTTCACCTCTCAATAATCCTAGCCGTTACTTGAGTTTGGCTTGTCCAGATTATCGAAATTATGCGTACTTTACCAAAATATCAAAAAAGTTGTAGTATGCAACTATGCAATATGACTTGCGCCATATTGGAATTGGGTGGATACGACAAGCAAGCTCAGAAAGGCTGTCCCAGTATTTAAGAATTCATGCGCCGACCACACTGGAGAATGTGCAAACATCGGGTTGTACAAACTCCAAGTCCAATAATTGTTGCATATTGTATTATCTTGATAGCTTATAGGTACTCCGGAGTGGATTTTGCTGTAGAAATACTGGACAGCCTCACTTGTCTTGTAAACAGCGCAACAGAAACACTAAAAGTTATGCAATACTAGTATATTTTATAACGACTACAGTTGACCAGTGACGTTAAGGCGACACTCACCAGTCGTGGAGCACTCTTAAATTTGATACAGGGATTTCGTTGATGGTTTTCTCTAAAGGCTGTGATCCAGTCAAACGTATTGAACACATTCCTGCGGAATCAACTCACCAATTCATCAAGGATAACACGAGATCTTTCTCGTTCGATCATTCAAATTGAAGTGAGTGAATTTGGAAATCACACAATCATTTCCAATAAAAATTGCATGTCGTCCTGCAAAGACGAAGCAAACAACGAAATGAGACGTCATCACATTCAAACACCACGAAGTCAATATCTCGAAAAAACAATACAAACATTAAATGTATTTCGCGGAGAGTGCCGCAAGTCAATCTATTAGAGCGTTTTAGCAAGCCGGGAATTGCATCAAATTCCCGGCTTGTCTTCGAGCACACAGACACACACACTTCGATAGTTGCACACCGGTTACCCCAAAAAAGACGGATGAAACAAAACGAAAATGTGCATCACACCCGCAGAGGCTGACCTCGTGAGGTCCGCTGGGCCCCTGCTGCAGAAGCTACGCCTTCTGCAGGCTCTCAGGCGTCGAGGGGCAACCCAAGACCGGATAACAATTCCAAGCGTCAAGCTTAACCTCGAAAAATACAACGATGCGGAATGTTTGGCCAAGTTCCGTTTTACCCGTTCTGACATTTGGTCCATTGCTTTCGACTACCTCGCGCAATCATCACTACTGAACTCACTCGGTATTCGAATGTTGAGGCCGTGTGTATTTTGCTCCGACGCCTTGCCATCCCAGACTGGTGGGTTGACATCATTGATATTTTCGGCCGATCTCCCAGCATCGTGCTTCAGCTTCGTCATGTCATCAACATCTTCATCCACCCCAGACGCACGCTCTTTTTGTTTGACGGGCGAAATCTTGCAGGAGAGTATCGCATCGAACCTGGCAGGTCCGGGCAGAAATGCTGGGTTCATGTTCTTGCATGACG